CTGCGGTCTGACAACCTATAGTAGATTTTTATTCTTCTATTTTAATAAAGTTTGGATCATCAAAGAGACATCTGAGTTACCTGGGTTATTCTTTTGTCTAAAGTTATATACGGCATTATAAATATCACATTTGTTTAAAAGATAATTAGGATAGTCATATTGTAGTAATGAAAATATTGATCCAGAATCTATTCTATCCTTGACTACATATTTTTCAATATCAAATAATATTTCTGGCATAAACTTGTGATACCATAAACTAATTTTATCAATCATAGAAGTAAGCGAATGGTTATAAGTATTATCAAATAAATTAATCTTCACTACTGCCATTGTCTTAGGTTGTGTAATATTTAATTTCTAAGAATATCCAGTCCATCGAGACTTAGCATTACGACATTTAGAAGAATTAGTTGTTACTTGTAGATTATTGGTGTCAGCTTTAGTATATATATATGTTGCTCTTCTAATTATTCTATTATCTATCTAACTGGTTTGAATTCTGTAACTAAATCCTTTTAGTCTCGCAAATTGATCGATTCAATTTTTAAAAAATTGCCAATTTTTAAACGAAAGACCTGGCACCAATTCTAACAAAGCTGATTCACTTTCATTATCATCCTGCCTATATTCATTATTAGTATCCTTCTATATATTTAAGACCAAATACTCATTATTGAGACAAGCGTTATTATTAGTACTACTAGAAGACTCAATACCATCAAGATCTTAATCATCACTGAAGGAAATATTATCATTAAAGCTAAAATAAGAGCACTGTTATTATCAACTAAAGAAGCACTAGCATTATTATTAGCATCACTAGAAGACTCAATTTCAAGATTACTAAAATAACTATCAAGATTATAATCATTACTGAAAGAAATATTATCATTAAAGCCAAAGTAAGAGTTGCTATTATTATCAACTAAAGAAGTACTATCAGAATAAGTACTATCTGCAAAGTAAGAGCTGCCATTATTATCAACTAAAGGAGCACTATCAAAGTAAGTACCCTCTGCTTCACATTCAACTAAAGAAGCACTGCAACTATTATCAAAATAAATACTGTCTGCTTCACATTTAACTAAATGAGCACTGCAACTATTATCAGAGTAAGTATCACCACCTGCTTCATATAATTGCAAATCCAATGAAGTACTATTATTGAATCTACTAACAAATTCTTGAGGTTTGTTTTCAAAAAAAAACTGATTAGCAGGCATTAAAGAATATAAAGCATTGGATACAAGTTGATCATTAGTGGCATAATTGGAATTAAATTCATTAGGCATATCTGATTTTATAAAATAGCGCATAAGATTCTAGAGTGACAATAAGCAAATAGTATTATTGACTTTGTATATCATGATAAGACAAATAAAATGCATATCATTTTTGATAAAAAGTCTATATAATTAGTGGATATTTAAATTTTGATGGTGTTACAAGGTTGTTCTAACAAAAAAAAGGACAATAATGATCATAAAAAATCATGAAAGTAAGAAAAAAATGGTTCATCGCTCATACTATTAGCAATATTTATTTTACCTGTCACATGATTATATAATCAGTATTCGATACACTTGTAATGAAAATCAAAATATCAACATGCATGTGATTACATAATCAGTATTTAATACACATAGTATCAATTTAGAAATATCTTATTAATAATTAAGAATGTGGTGACTTTATAAAGTAGTAAGTTGTTATATCACCAAGCTATTAAGTACAAGTTTAATTTCCACAGAAGATAAAAATTGAATTTAGAAAAATAGATTTAGTAACTATAATTGTGACTAAAAAAACTTAAAACCTTATAACTATAGTTATACTAAGCAATAGTAAAGATTTTTTAAAATTATAAGCCAGAATTAGAAAATTCTAGTAGATTTGTATAATATAAAAATTACACAAAGTATATACTATATTAGTATAACTCTTGATAAATTCTTAAGATTATAAAAAGCTATAAAGCTAATATAATAATAGGTACTCGTTTGACAAACCCTGAGTAGAGTGATAGTACAAACTTTAGATAGTACTACTATATCTGAGGTTGGTATAATTAGACAAGAACTAGGTTTTTACAAGACTACTCTACCAACCAGGCTGCTAGAATAATGATTAGAGAAAAAAGATCTGCAGTATAGATATTAGAAAACTGTATTCTTCTAGGCTATCTAAATTGGAAGTCTAAAAAGACTAACTAAAATAATATCAAATAGAAAATACTGGATAGACTTGAAGTAAAATACTAAAGTTTAGATAAATTCTACAAGAGCAAAAGTAGATTGTTTAGACTATAGTAAAGTTAATACTAGATAAAAAGCAAGAAAAAGATCAATATATCTACTATAAAAAATTTGTACTGCAAGTAGTAGACTTTAGACTATATATATTAACTGAAGTCTAGATTAGCCAAATTGTAAATACAGAAAGCTCTAGCAAGTTATTTTGAAGATAAATATATTCTAAGTCAAATATCTGAAAATAAGAAGATACTTGTATTCTAGCTCAGTTTATAGTATAGTATATATAGATACAAAGAGTTTAAATAAATAACTCTCTATTAAGTTATAGATATAATATCTAATATAGAATTTAGTGATAAGTAGAATATTTAAATTAGCAACCAACAATTGTATATATGGCTAGTTATACTCTTCAAATATATATTAGGTATAAATATATACTAAAATTAAAACTATAATTAAATAAAAAAATATCAAGAAATTACTTTAATATCAAAAAATATTATTAAAAATTAAATTAATTTAGGGAATTGATATTTCTATACCCTTTTTGATATTGTTACACCTCTGTTAACTCTAAACCTAACTAAACCCTAATAATTTATATTGATTTTTATTAAAAGAGATGTGGTAATATCAAAAAAGAGTATAGAAATATCAATTTTCTTAATTTATTATATAATTTCTTATTATTTTTGTAAAAATTGTTAAATAAATAAATTTTACAAAAATAAATTTATATATATTTAAAAATATATAAAAAGCAAAAAGAATATTTATTTTTGAAATTAATATTATATGAATATTTGTATAGAATAATAATATAAGGCAATTTCTATTTATATACAAATATATATATGTAGACAATATAGATAACTTAAAATTTAGATTATAAAACTACTTTTGGCTTTTATTAAAAAAAATCTTTGTTTAGTATAAACTATACTTTGTCTGATTCTAAATCTACTCTTACTTTAACTATAAGCAAGAGTTTAATTTTTTTTTTATAAAATTGGTTTGATTAGTATATTGTACAAATATATAATTCAATAAATTATATCTGTGTTCATATATTATTTTATAAAGTTTAATATTATTTTTTCTTATTTATTATTATTTTAATGATTAATATAATAATTTTACTATAAGCTTTATAAATATTTTAAAATTATATATTCTTAATTTATTAGAAGTTAATTTATATAAATAATAAGAAAATTTTAATTTGGTGTATTATGTACCATGATGCACCCCTAATTACAGGGTATAAATAGTAATTATCAATTGATTAAATCAGTTAAATTTTTTTTTAATTTTTTTGTTTCAACACGTTTAGTTATTAATATATATTTTTTTTTTGTGACAGTTTCAGGTTGTCATCGTTGGTGTCGTCAGTTCAAGATCCTTCACTTGAGTTGGTGTCATTATCGTTACTGGAGCAGTTATTTGGAATTGGTACCATAGTTTCGTTTCATTATTGGTGTCTTGGTGAATTGTGTGTTACCATTGTTGTTGGCTGTTGGTGGAAATTTGTGTCTTTATCAAGTACGTCATTTAGGTGTCATTTCTTGTATATTGGCAATAACAGCCTTACTCCTAGTTTTGTTGCTAGCGCGTCATTTCACGACAATGTTGGCTAATGACAAGGTAGGAGGTTAGAGTATTGTTCTTGATTTCTTGTTCATGAATACATACTGATAGTTCTTTTTTTTTCTAGAATATTCATGAAAATTGTCTTGGTATTTGGGGCATATGCTTTAATTTTTTTGTCTTGCTTTTTCGATTCATGAATGTGTTACTAATACTTGTTTTTTTTTTTTAAGGATTGTTAGGCTTCTTGAAACCTGTTAGGCATTTGTTTAAAAATTCTGGAGAGTATTATTTTGTAGATATGTTGTTCTTGTTTTTTTCTTGTTCTGAATGTGTTACTAATGCTTTTTTTTTTCTTGTTTCCAGATCCTTTAGGGTGTTTTTGAACTTTCTTGGGATGCATGTCTTGCAAGTCCAGGACATATGGTTTTATTTTTTTTGTTGTTGCTTTTGTTTTGTGAATGCATTATTAACGCTTTTCATTTTTTTGTTAGATCAGTCTTGAGAAATGTTTTGTGGCCACCATTCTTTGAATATGCTAGGTTCATATGTTTGCCTTTTTTGTTTTTATTTTGATTGTTTTGCTTTTGCTAACATCTTTTTGATGCCATTACATAATGCTCTTGTTGTTGGCATCATTGTTCTTAAAGTGATAAAAATGCTTTAATTGTGGTATCAGCATTATTAGATAGTGAATTACTTTTATAGCTATCACTGCTATTATTAGAGTGTGGAAAATTTAATATTGTTGATTTCGTGTTATTGTTGGTGGTCGCCATAGTACAGCATTTTTATTGTTGGATTTATTATTTTTGCTGTTAGTTGGGGTTAGGGTTTTTGAATTTCTTTACGTTTAGGGTTAGGGTATCTTGGTTTTGGTTATAT